CTAACGGAGCGGTCCTACGGAGGATGGACCCGTACAGAATGAGGACAGTACAGGATTGTATAGCTAACCCTAATTGGGGTTGTACCCCGTAGAGAGTACCCCACCATAGCCTACAACATAGAAACACAGTTTGACAGTGCGCGCGAAGTTGGCGAAGCCCCGTTAGCAGTAACGGGCGAAAACGACTGCTGCTGTACGCGATGTTGATGGTCGCGGTAAGGAATGTCGAGAAAATTCCTTACAGGGGCAAAGGAAATACGCCCAGTCAGCACTTTGGAGAAAGACTTGCCATTTTTGTAGGTACGGCTTCGAGCAACAATCGTTATCTTGACAATACTTGGATTGAATTGAACACACCTGCATTTACTGCACCATGTTAGAAATTGCAAAAGGACACTTATTCTGTCGTGGTTTCGCTACGACAAAATCTGGCCAGCATTTCGCAGATACATGGTACCATACATTATTTACTACACTGGTCAGTGTGCTTGAAGCTCTACACTTTTTATACAGTACCACTGCTACTGTACCAACTAGCTACCGCTGGTACCCCTTGAAACATCACCCGGCCTTCCGCGACCACGAGTCTCTGAACTCCCTGGTGAGACTCTTGCGTCGCATCCTTTGTAGACCATTCCCACCATGTCAACTATCTCTGGTACCTCTTGGCTGACCCCTCAGCCTTCCACGAGTCTCTTCTGAACTGAATGTTGAGACTCTTAAACTGAAAGCAAGCGGCTTCAGCAAACTCCATCCCATCTTCTGAACACCACTGCACCGCACTGACTAGCCGATCTACCAGCCGTCCACGAGCCTCTAAACTCCCCGGCAAGACTCTCGCAAGCGGCTTCAGCAAACTCTCAACACCACTGCACCGCACTGACTACCGATGGTATCACTTGGCACCTTTCCCAGCAGCCTTCCACGAGTCTCTGAACTCCCTGGTGAGACTCTTGAACTAAACGCTAGCAGGTTCAGGAAACTCCATCCCATCTTCTGAACACCACTGCACCGCACCGACTACCTCTGGCACCGCACCGACTACCTCTGGTACCGCTTGGCACCTCTCCCAGCACACTTCCACGAGTCTCTGAACTCCCTCATTAGATTCTTGAACTGAAAGCAATCGGCTTCAGCAAACTCCATGACCAAGTCCTCAAACTGGCAGCACAGACTCTCCACCCACTCCTGCATGCCATCCTTTGATTTGAACACCACTGCACCACTCCTACTACCAATCTCTTAATCGATCTCCCAGCCTTCCACGAATTGCTAAACTCCCTGGTGAGACTCTTGAACTGAAAGCAGGCGGCTTCAGCAAAGTCCATCACCGAGCCTTCAAACTGGCAGCACAGACTCTCCGCCCACTCCTGCTCCCGTTTCTTTTACAACCACTGCACCGCACCAACTACCTCTTGTACCGCTTGGCGCCTCTCCCCGCCGTCCAAGAGTCTCTGAATTCCCTCGTTAGACTTTTAAACTGAAAGCAAGCGGCTTCAGCAAACTCCATAACCGAGTCTTCAAACTGGCAGCACAGACTCTCCGCCCACTCCTGCATCCCCTCCTCAAAATCCGCACACGCCCTCTCCACGATCACGTCATCCGATTCTCCCCCCGAAAACGCAGGGAATGCGCCCTCATAAGAGCCTCGCCGGGAATCTCCCCTCGACCTGGGTATCATCTCCCTCTCGCGCCGTGCCGAACCCAGCTTCCTCCTCCCACTCCACCCACCAGCCCCGTCAACCCCATCCGGCCCATCCTGTTCATCCATCCCATCGAACCCACCCGCACCCATCTCATCAGCCCTCCCGCGCCTATCAGGTCTGCCGAACCTTTCGGACCTATCATACCTATTGGGTCTATCAGGCGGATCAGGCCTCCCAGGCCCTTTCCTAAGCCTACTGTTTCGGGCAGCAGCAGGGGGTTGAGGGGAAGAGGACAGCCGCCTGCCACGTGGCGCACGAGAGGGGGGCGCAGCGGAGCGCAGCAGGGGCAGCAGAGAGCGATTCGGTTGTGGGAGACTCGACTGCCCTGCTCCTGCTGCTGGCACTTTCAGCAGCGCTGCTGCGTACGTTGCCGCTGCTGCCGCCGAACCTGCTGCTGCGGCCGTGCCTGCTGCTGCGGCCGAGCCTGCTGCTGCGGCCGTGCCTGCTCCAGCGCCAGAGGTTCCTGCTTTCATTTCTGCTGCTTCGACTGCCTGTCCACCTGCTGATGCTGCTTCTGCAGCTCTTGAAGCGGCTGCTGCTGCCTTTCCAGCAGTAATTGCTCTCGCAATGCCCAACAAAAGAGCCGACGAGCGGCGGCGATCCATTGGCGAATCAAACCGGGTCTCGTGCCGCCGACCCGGATTGTCCCTTGAATCCCTCAACAGTGACTGTCGTCGATCATGGTGACGTGTCATGATCGGATCCATTAACACAAACCACTCCGGCAGTCGATCGGGAATCTGGGCCGTTTGTAGCCGAGCCGCGAAATCGCGAGGCGTTCGCGAAGGCTCCGATTGCTCAAGCCGGTCAGCCCATTCTAACCGGTCTCTCAAGTTCTCGTAATTCGATTTAAGCCTGTTAATTTTAGCCTTTATCGCGTCCGCGGAGTGTCGGAATTCCGGGTCCCGCTGCAACAAGAGGTTGAGCAGCTCTTTATAATAATTGGTGCCTCTTGAACCGCGTACGGCGTGAAACTCCGCATCGAGCTCCGCGTGCGCCTCGAGGAGCAGCCGAACCTCGACGTGCGACCATAGGCTCGATCCCTGCACGTTCATTAGATTCGATTCGCGGAACGATGCCGGAGGGGGGTCCAAATGGACATTTTCCTCGCTATAAGCTCCCTCGCTATAGGCTCCGCCGTTTCCTGCAGATGTTTCGTTTGTGTAAGTGACCTTCGTGCTGGCAACATCAGCGGCAGCCTGGTCAGCTGCAGCAATGCCCGCCGTTGGTTGATCTGATGCAGCAACATCCGCCGTTAGTTGATCTGACGCTGCTACATCCGCCGTTGGTTGATCTAATGCAGCTACCTCCGCCGTTGGTTGACCTGATGCAGCTATGTCAACCGTTGGTTGATCTGATGCAGCAATCTCCGCCGTTGATTGACCTGATGCAGCTATATCCGCCGTTGGTTGATCTGATGCAGCTACATCCGCCGTTGGTTGATCTGACGCAGCTATATCGGCTGTAGCCTCGCCTGATAAGACTAAATCAGGCGTCGCTTGATCAGATAAAGTTAACTCCACCTCGGGCTCTTCAAATGGAGTCTGGGGATCACTGGTGCGAGACATGACCTTCAACTTAGGCTCCATGATTTAATCACAGCAGTTAGAACAGTCAGAGCAAAAAGCCGTTAAATGATGACGGACGCAGCACAAGGAGCTCGTAATTCTAACAGCGTAGCCCTTCTGGTGCCCTAAGCTTGCATTTTTTGCCTTTCTGGTGGCCTAAAAACCTAACATTTCAGGTACCTAAACTAGAAGAACTAGGTGAGCGAGCACAATAGTCCTGTGTGTGACTGAAGTAAGAGGGCATGGATATCTCACGCGGTTCAGTACGGTACTTAGGCCGAACCCCATTCCGCCTCCCTGCAGGCAGCCACCAACACGAAGACATTTCCTCCGAGAGTTTCCTTTAGGGGAGGGAAGACGCCATTCGCGAAACTGGCAGGTTCATTTTCGCTAGTCCATCCTTACCCGAACTGATCGGATGGGCGAAAATACAGTTACTCTGCTTGTGAGCGTGTCATTGCATGGCTATCCCCTTGTGACACGGGCGTAGTGTTCCTTCCGCAAGCGACGATCATCCTCTTTGACGACGAATGAGCAGCGTGTAACATCGCATTGCTGGTTCGACCTGGCAACTCGTCTTGGCATTGCGGGACGGCTGTCAACCGAAACCTTTCTTGGGCATTTTACTGCCCTTCAAACTCCTTTTGCTTGCTCTCTCATCGCGCTCAGACCGAACCTAGCACCGTGGCAGACAACTGGCCAATCACAACCATGATTCGAACTCTCATATCGCCAACGTTCGCCTTCGGTTCGGTAAGAGTTTGTCATCGTCATGAGGTTCGTTCTCCTCCCTTCATCCAAATCGCTCAGGCCAGTTTGGTGTGGTTTGCATTCTAAGCTGGGAGTTGATTCTACTCTGTAACGTTTGTTACCGCGCAGAAACAAAGAATACCGTGCTACCGTTCATCAACCCCAGTTCGGGCCTGATGGACCGTCATCATCAAGGGAACGGATGGAGGGACTGGCGCGAACGGCTCCTACCGAAGCTCACCACGCTGTATCCTAGTTAATGACACTACGCCGTTCTCAAACGCTCTCAAATTACAAACAAAATGGTCCGCTCGACCTTGAAGCAGTTCGTTCTCAGCACAAACCAACCAAACCAACTTTGAGGTAGTCCGACTTCAAAACTGGAAAAGCCGAGTTGCTAGCTATCCTCCTTCAAACCCTAGGGTTGCGTACCTTCGTAGTTTGCTTGTTTGAATCGATTTGGTAGTAGATGTGGTTTGCCCCTAGAAACAGTTTGCTTCTTTGAATCAGTTTACTTCTTGCAACGGTTTGCTCGGGATCAGTTTGCTACTAGAAACGTCCTCCCTCCTTGACCTCCTTGGTTCGTAATTCCAAGAACTGCTAGCGACGCCGACGGTCGTCGCTTGCGATCGGAACGATTTTCGTAAAACGCACACTGTTTTGGAGGCTGGTCTTCGCTGAACCACGCAGCTGGTACATAGGGTAGTCGTCCATTCCCAACCGAGTCATGCAATCCCTAGATGACTCCCCGTCGCCAAGCAACAACAGCTTGCTCCCGAGCGAGTACCTAAACGCTCCCATCTTCGCGTCGCGGTACCATGACGACTCGGCTGACGACGATGACAATGACGATAACGACGACAATGACGTCAATCATGACGTCAACGGCAGAGAAATCGCTCGTGAGCGCCGAAGCGCGGCCGATCTGGCTCGCGCGATCAACGGCGTGCGACAACACTGGTCCCCGACTGAAACCATGCAGCTCGTTTACGCTTTCGTGGAGCTCGACCGAGAAAACGACGGCATGCGCATCGTCCATGGCTCCAACTACTACCGCGAATTAATCGCCTTGTTGCTTCGGAAGTTCCCCGAGTTCCGGCACTCGCAGCCGGCCGTCAAGTCGAAGCTCATCCGCATGAAGAACAAATACTACCGGTTACAGAACCGGCTGGACCGGTCAGCCGTCTGTTCCACTTGCGATCGGCAAGGAAGGAGATTCTGCCAACTCGTCGGCGCGGTCGACCGCCGAAATCGCGAGGTACGAGCGCGTGTTTCGTGTGCGTGCTACGTGGACTTTATTACTTTACCGTGCCTGTAGTTTCCCCTGCAAACGTTTCCGTTAGTGCGCATTTTGCTGCTTGGGGGTTTCTTTTGTTATTTTTATTTTCCGCGTGCAGTAATGCTATCTAGTCGTTTTGTCCAAATCCTTTCCTTTTCCCTAATGTTTCACTATTCACAGGCCGTCCAGCAGCAGCACCAGCAGTACCGAAGCGAGAGAGAGGACGAGGCGACTCAAGTGAAGACGATTTGAACCCACTTGACGGTTCTCTCGACGACGCTGAAGCGTATTCGTTTCCGGCTCTCCCAACCCTGCCCACTGCAGCAAACGCGAGAACACTGCAGTATCCTTCCCCAGCTCTCTCAACCCTGCCCACTGTAGCAGTTACGGAAGCACAGCAGTATGTCTCTCCCCCTCCCCGATTTGCCCGAGAGGTTTCCGCACTGTACACCCCGACTGCAGCTGCTGCGTTGCCACTTAAAGCCGGAGCTGCATCAGCACCTGGGGCGACTGGGGCGTCAGCAGCTGTTGGGCAAGCTGTTGCTGCAGCGACTGCTGCTGGGGCATTGGCATTGGCAGTGCTCGGTGCGAGCAATCCATTGCGTGGTGTTGCTCCGATAGTAGCGTCAGGAACAGCTGCAGCAGCTCCTCTGTCTACCACTCCTGCAGCAGCTGGTGGAGGAGCAGCAGGAACAGCAGCAGGGACAGGAGCAGCAACAGCAGCAGCAATAGGAACAGGAATAGGAACAGGAACAGGAACAGGAACTGGAACTGGAACAGGAAGAGGAACAGCACCTGGAACAGCAGCTGCAGCAGACAACGATTCAGGCAGAAGTTACCTGCAATCACTGCTTGCCACCACAATCCCACTCTCTCCCCGGGCCAAAATGCCGATTCCTCCCCCTTCTGCTCCAACTGAGAGGCTGACGCCCCCCCCTGCTGCTCAAGACGACAGGCTGACGTCACCTGCTTCGGCCGGAGGTGATCAGCTGACGTCACCAGCTTCTGCTGAGGATGATAGGCTGGCGTCCCCGCCTTCTGCTCGAGATGGCATGCGAATGTCTCCCCCCATTACCAGAGGGGGGAGGAGGATGGCAGCAGGGTTGGGACCCACAGGGTGGAGGAGGGGCAGGTGGGGATCAGGGTGGCGAGAGAGAGAGGGGTTTGCAGTCAATCCCGGGGTGCGTTCGCACTTGAGTGCACGTCGCACGGCCGGCAGGACAGGCCTGATCGCTGCTGAAGGGCTGGGTGATGTGATGGACGAGGCGGTTGAGAATGCGTTTGCGGATTTCGAGGGGCTTACTCAGGAGTGGGTGGAGAGAGCGTGTGGTGAGTTTGAGGGGATGGTGGCTGATATGGCAGAGAGGGCGTGCTTGCAGTTCAGGAGTGCTGCGAGGGAGTTTTCTGAGTCGTGGAAAGCCGGGCAGGATTTCAAGAGGCGGAGGAGATTTTGATGGGGGTGTGGTTAAGGTTGTGCTTCGTTTTTTGCTCCACAAGTGGCTATTTTTTTTATGATGCCAGGTTTAGTTAGATGTTCACTTGTGTTTTGCTCCACATGTGGTTAGTTGCATGTTTCAGCCATGTATGGCCTTCAGCTCCTACCACAGCACTTTTTACCAAATTGTGAAAGCTTGCGATTTGCCTTGCAAATGCAACGTCTCATTTCAACTGGGTGAAGGCCAAATGGCCTTCGCCCCCCACTTTATACCGAAAAAAAGGGGAAGTAGCGTTTCGGCGAAGCCTTTGCTTCGGTACGATTCGCTTCGCTATTCACAATACACAAGTTAGGAAAGTGTTTCGCTTCCAAAATTTTACATTTCAATAGTGTCCCCTAAGAGCGTATTCCTACGGGGCCACCTCGTATCAAGAATGAAATTGACTTTTGTTTACGGTATAAAACACCTTATATCAAGAATAGACCGAACCAGCGCACCAATGAAAATGCTCGCACACCCAGAAGTGAACGTGCTGATTTTCCGACGCACGGTTCCAGTTGACGCGAAGTCGTCAGTCCAGTGAATGCGGCCGACAAACAGTCATGCGAAACTGCACACGGTGGCAGTCGTGCGCCGCGCGCGAACGTGCAAAGTGTGCAAACTTGTTCATGCTGGGTCGCAACATGCCACATCAGCTGTTGATGGAGTCGCACATGTGGGTTAACCGGCAACTTTTACTGATATGAGGTTTTGGCGAACTTGTCAATTTACAGGCAGGAGTACCATTCTTGATACGAGGTCTTAAAGTTAGCGAACAACGGAATGATTGGAATAGAAACGAATGGGGTACAAATGAGCAACCCTAGAAGCTGTGCAACTCACTATAGCCTATCATATCAATGTTCAACATTTGACACACCCCCATAGGCTAAGTGAGGGGCATCAAAGCAAGCAAGGTGAACAAACGGTCACAAGACCAGTCAAACCAAGAACCAAGGCAAGCTCAGGGTGGATCTCAAGGACACCACACAAATTCCGAGCGCAAGCAAGCGGCCACAAGGCCAGATCAAGAGTTCACTAGGATATAAATACAAAGCACAACAAGCAGAGCAAGCAACAGGACTACACCAACCGAGGGCCTACCTCAACAAGCCCCAACTGCACACAGAACCTGTGGTGGTCACCAAGCGCCAAGGCCTTGGTGAAGACGTCTGCAGTGTTGGCCTCTGAGGCCACAAAGTCCAGGCGTGCCTGACCGCGTCGCTGCAGCTCTCGCAGGAGGAAGTACCTCACGTCAATATGCTTCACTCTGCTCTCCAGTCGAGGCTCTCGACACAGGAGGATCATGGCCTTGTTGTCAGCGTACAAGGTCGGTGCAGAGCAAGGCCGCTCACCAAGGTCAGCGAGCAAGAAGGTCAACCAGCGAAGCTCCTGTGCCGCCATGGCACCAGCGTAGATCTCTGCCTCTGCACTGGAAGTAGCCACAGACGACGACCGTGTAGACCTCCACGACACAGCACCAGCTCCCAGACTGAAGCAGTAACCCTGAGTCGAACGCTGAGTCTCCACGTCGTCAGCGTAGGAAGAGTCGCAGTGACCAGTCAACGCCACTGGCTGAGTCCCTCTAAGCACAAGCCCCAAGCCTGATGTAGTCGCCAGGTACTTCGCCACCCTCACAGCAGCTGTCCAGTGGACAGGGCGGTGTCTCCCAGTCGCAACAAAGCGAGAAAGGATGCTGAGTGGAAAGGCGAGGTCCGGTCGAGTACAAGTCATCAGGTACATGAGGCAGCCCACCAGCTCTGCGTAGGGTCCACTGGACTCAAAGGGCTCGTCAGGAAAGGGGCCCGTGAGTCTGTGGTCAACAGCAAGAGGAGTGGGCTGTGTGGTGGAGAACTGGAAGTGGAACCGCCGGAGGACCTGCTGCACCATGTGTGACTGCGTCAGTGTGATGGTGTGAGCGGCTCTGTCCCGGGTGATCTGCAGGCCAAGGTAGCACTGCAGCTCACCCAGGTCAGTGCACTTGTGTCTCTTCTGCAGTTCGGACTTCACCTGAGCCAGGGCTGCCCTGTCTGCTGTAGCAAACACCAAGTCGTCGACGTAGACAAGGATAAAGAAAGGAGTAGAACCCGCTCGAACAAACAGCGACGGGTCGGCGGAGGACGGGCTGAACCCAAGGTCACAAAGCGTGGAGCGAAGAGTGTCGTGCCACTCACGGGGCGACTGGCGGAGACCGTAGACTGGTCGCCTCAGGCTCCACTGGGTCCCAGGTGGGAAGGTGTCAGTGAAGCCAGGAGGACGGCGCAGCCAGATCTCCTCGTGCAGTCGGCCCTGGAGGAACGCAGTGGAGAAGTCGAGGGAGTGCAGCTCGTAGTCTCGCTGCGCTGCTATGTGGAGTAACACCCGAAGAGTAGTCATCTTCGGGGTCGGGGCGAAGGTCTGGAAGAAGTCAACTCCCTCACGCTGACTGAAACCCCTAGCCACGTAGCGCGCCTTGAACACCGGCGGTGCTCCAGGCGGCCGCTTCACCTTGAAGAGCCACATGCCATCGACTACGTTCGCCCTGGGAGGGGGAACTGCGTCGACGTAGGTGCCTGTGGATCTCCAAGACGCCAACTCTGAGTCCATAGCCGCTTTCCACTGAGAGGCCCACGCCCCTGACACTGCCTCGCGGTAAGTGCGAGGAGTCGGTATGTCAAGGGCGTCGGGGTCTCCCTCAGGGGAGAGCAGCATGGCACACACAGAGGGAGAAGCGGCTGCCCAGTACTCCAGCTCAGACTCTCTGTCCTCTAGGACGTCACAGCCAAGGGCAAACCCACCCCCGACGGACAGAGGACGGTAGGGAGGAGCTGGCACCACACGGGTGGCGTAGTCAAGGCGGCTGGCGGCAGCAAACTCAGCGACAGCGGCAGTGAGAGCCGAGACAGACGACGGAGGGAAACGAGGGTCGGTGACAAGAGTGGTGAGGACACGTGCGGCAACAGGACGAACAGCGCGGTAGTAGTCAGAGATAGGAGTGGGGAGGGCAGGTAGAGAGGACGGAGGAGGAGACGGGAGAACGGACACAGGAGAAGGAGAACGACGACGAGACGAACAAAGGAGGGCAGTGTGGAGGTCAGTAACAGGGGACGAGTGACGAGCACGCGGAGGACAACGAGTGATCAAGTCGCGACGGACAGAGGGAGGAGGAGACTGAGGAGGAGGAGAAGACCAGACCGCCGGACGGTCGTCAGGAGGAGGCAACGGAGGAACAAACACAGGAGGAGACTGGGAGCGGACAGGAGGAGAGGAGGAAAGGCCAAGGGCCCGCAAGCCACTCACAGGTGGGAACAACCGCCGCTCTAGAGGAAGCTGCGGTGGCGGCTGCGGCCACTGCGGCTGCGGCTGCGGCTGCGGCTGCGGCTGCGGCTGCTGCTGCTGCTGCTGCTGCTGCTGCTGCTGCTGCTGCTGCTGCTGCGGCTGCTGCTGCTGCTGCTGCTGCTGCTGCTGCTGCTGCTGCTGCTGCTGCTGCTGCTGCTGCTGCTGCTGCTGCTGCTGCTGCTGCTGCTACTGCTGCTGCGGCTGCTGCTGCTGCTGCTGCTGCTGCTGCTGCTGCTGCTGCTGCTGCTGCTGCTGCTGCTGCTGCTGCTGCTGCTGCTGCTGCTGCTGCTGCCGCTGCTGCTCCAGAAGGTCCAGCACCCGCAGCTCCTGCCGCTCCCTCTCCAACCGCTCCTGCTCCTCACGCTCACGCCGACGGGCAGCCTGGAGACGCGTGTCGTGGCGGTGGGGGGGCGGGGTGGACTCCGCAGAACCAGGGTCTCCAGCGTCAGTCTCCTCAGACTCAGCACCCCCAGAACCAGTACCGCCAGTGCTAGGACCTCCAACTCCAGCACCCCCAGAACTAGCACCGCTAGTGCCAGCACCCCCAACTCCAGCACCCCCAGAACCAGCACCTCCAGTGCCGGCACCTCCAGCTCCAGCACCCCCAGAGCTAGCGCCACCTGCGCCAGCACCTCCAGCTCCAGCACCCCCAGAGCTAGCGTCACCTGCGCCAGCACCTCCAGCTCCAGTACCCCGCGACCGAGCACCCCCAGACCGAGCACCGCCAGCGGCTGCACCTCCAGCTCCAACACCAACCGAGTCCACAGTAACCTGTCGCGGAAGTGCCGAAGGCTGCTGAGGGGACTGTGAGGAGGACTGCGGGGAGGGAGACGCTACTTGACGCGCGACCGAGGGGAGAGGGGTAGCGTGGGACACACCAGACGGGGCAGGACCAGGGGGGGGCGGGGGTACCGGAGGAGCGGGAGCAGGAGGAGGAGAGGGTGCGAGGAAGAGAGGGGGAGGGGGTACCGGGAGACCTCGACAGGGGTACCGGGTGTAGTAGGACACGGACTCGTCAAACCGGACGTCACGGGAATCTAGGAACTGGTGGAGGGGAGGGTGGTAAAAGGACCAGTCAGCAGAGTCCACAGGGAAACCAAGGAAGACACAGGGGACGGCGCGTGCCGAGAGCTTGTCCGCGGAGGTTGTCGCGAACAAGTGCAAGGCAGCCCCAGACTCGAAAGGCCGACCCAACACCAGGGGATCCAGTCCAGAGACTGGTCGGTGAAGCCTCGGGCCGCGAGACACGCGGCTGGAGGTTCAGCTGGTGTGCGGCGTAGCGAATCGCGTGAGGCCACAGAAAATGGGGCGCACGGGCATGAATCATGGACGTGCGGGCGATGTCCATGACCAAGCCTATGCGGCGCTCAGCAACCCCATTCTGCTGTGGGGACTCTGGCAGCGTCCAGGACCGGGTGATGCCCTATTCGCCGCAGAATCCGCCGAGAATGCCGGAGCGAAACTCGCCCCCACGGTCGGAGTGAAGACAACTGACTCGACGACCACGAGTGCCCTCAGTGGCTAGAAGCCACCTGATCAGCGTAGCAGTCACCTCGGACTTCTTCGTAAGAGGAAACAATGTGGTGTACCTGGAGAAGTCGTCGACGACCACCAGAAAGTAGCGCTCCCTCCCAGACCCCTGCGTCGGGGCAGGGCCCCAGACGTCCAAGTGGAGAGTCTCGAAGGGAGCGGTGGCCGGACGAAGGGAGGAGGAGTGGGGAGTGGCACGTAAGCGACCGGCGACGCACGGAGAGCAAGGAGGGGCAAGCGAGGGAGGGAGCGACGGGAAGGTGCGTGGGAGACCTGTGACTAGTCCCTGACTGAGCATGCCACGAAGGCAAGGGATCGACGGGTGGCCAAGACGGTGGTGCCACAGGACGGTGCGGTGGGCGAGAGAGCGACAGGAGCAAGACGCAGCGACTGGACTGGACACAGCGACCGGAATGGACACAGCCACCTGACCGGACTCTGCTACCGGGGGGGACGAAGCAACCTGACCAGACGCAGCTACCTGCGGGGGCGGAGTGCGCAGGACGAAGAGACCTGAGTGGGGCTCTCTGGTGAACGTGGCAAGAACTGCCCCGGTGGAAGAGTCCGTACAGATCGCAGTCCTCCCGTGCGCAGGAAAAGTGACTGTGATCCCCCGGTCCTGAAGGTATCCAACACCCACCAAGTTCCGAGAGAACGAGGGGATGTAGAGACCAGTGAGGAAACCAGAGGGGACAGCCGGGCACGGGAGGGTGGTCGAGCTACGAGCAACTGCTGGTCCTGAAGTAGGATCAGCCAGGGCAACTGGGACTGGAGCCGAAAGAGGTGTGACAGTGGTGTGGTCGCGGAAGAAACACTGAGACGCGCCGGAGTCCAGCGTGAAGGAGAGCGACGCAACAGCAGTCGTCACGGCTGGGCTAGTGACTACACAAGCACCTACACTAAAAGCACAAGTACCGACACTAGCAACAGGCAAAGGTCCTAAGCTAGGTACACGTAAGCCAAGAGATCCGTACGTGACAGAATAAACAGCATCCATAGACATATCAAACACAGGGAAACCACTACGAAACAGACCGGGCCAGATCGGGGGAGCCGACTCAGGCCCAAAACGCTCACGGTAAAGGTCGTCGAGGCGGCTGTAGCAGCGCTGTGCAGAGTGGTCAGGACGCCAGCAGGTAGTGCCAGCACCAGGGCCGGTCAGGATCCGGTACTGGCAGGGGCCGACGTCGCGGCCACCGCGACGAGCCCCCCAGCTGGCTGGGCCGCTGCTGCAGCCAACGCGACCTGAACCACCAGGCCCCCATGGCTGCTGAGGGCGCCACAGCTGCTGAGGGCGCCCCTGCCGCTGCGGAAGCCACTGCTGAAAAGGCCGCTGCTGCTGTCCCTGCTGCTGGAGAACCCTAGCGGACTCCATGATAAAAGCTAGCGGGGTGCAGGAGCGGCAGGCTAGGAGCGACAGGAGCGACAGGCTGCTGTGAAAAACGAGAACAACTAGGAGCGCAAGGTGAAACCAGGCGAGTAACTGCTGGAGCACGGAGCGAACTAAGCTAGGAGCGCCAGGTGAAACCAGGCGAGTAACTGCTGGAGCACGGAGCGAACTAAGCTAGGAGCGCCAGGTGAAACTAGGCGAAGAACGGCTGGAGCACGGAGCAAACTGAGCTAGAAGCGCCAGGTGAAACTAGGCGAGGAACGGCCGGAGCACGGAGCAAACTGAGCTACGAGCGAGGAGCGAGAACGGCTGGAGCGAGAACGGCTGGAGCTAGAAGCGGCGAGCTAGGGCTGGCTGGAGGTAGGAACGGCCGGGGCTAGAGACCGTAAGTGCGGCTGTCGGCTGCCGCTAGTAGAGCCACTGGCAGTGGAAAGTACGTGCGACAGTAGGGGCTGCAGTACTGACGGCTGCGGGATGTAGGCAACTGTGCAGGTCGTCCGGCAAGCAGGAACGCGGGCGACAGTCGCAGGCCCCCCACTGTAAACCCCTTTTTTTTTTTTTTTTTTTTTTAGGGTTTAATTAATTAATTTATTTTCTGGCACTAAAGCACCCCGGGGCGCGCTGCCTGCAGGGTGTGCTGCCTGCGGGGCGCGCTACCCGCGGGGCGCGCCTCCTGCGGGGCGCGCTACCCGCGGGGCGCGCTACCCGCGTGGCGCGCTGCCTGCGGGGCTGGGGTGACGAGCCAGGGAGGGCGTCTGGGCGACGGGCTAGGACGGGCGCCTGGGCGACGGGCTAGGGCGCAGGCCTGGGCGACGGGCTAGGACGGGCGCCTGGGCGACGGGCTAGGGCGCAGGCCTGGGCGACGGGCTAGGGCGGGCGCCTGGGCGACGGGCTGGGGCGGGCGCCTGGGCGACGGGCTGGGGTGGGCGCCTGGGCGACGGGCTAGGGCGGGCGCCTGGGCGACGGGCTGGGGCGGGCGCCTGGGCGACGGGCTGGGGCGGGCGCCTGGGCGACGGGCTGGGGTGGGCGCCTGGGCGACGGGCTGGGGCGGGCGCCTGGGCGACGGGCTAGGGCGGGCGCCTGGGCGACGGGCTGGGGCGGGCGCCTGGGCGACGGGCTGGGGTGGGCGCCTGGGCGACGGGCTGGGGCGGGCGCCTGGGCGACGGGCTAGGGCGGGCGCCTGGGCGACGGGCTAGGGCGGGCGCCTGGGCGACGGGCTAGGGCGGGCGCCTGGGCGACGGGCTAGGGCGGGCGCCTGGGCGACGGGCTAGGGCGGGCGCCTGGGCGACGGGCTAGGGCGTGGGCCTGGGCGACGGGCTAGGGGCGCAAGCTAGGGGCGCGGAGGGCGCTAACGCGCGGAGGAGGAGGGCGCTAAGGCGCGGAGATGGCGCGGAGGGCGCGGTGGCTAAGGCGCGGAGGGCGCGGAGGGCGCGGAGGGCGCGGAGGGCGCGGAGGGTGCTAGGGCGCAAGGGCGCGGAGGGCGCGGAGGGCGCGGAGTGTGCTAGGGCGCAAGGGCGCGGAGGGCGCTAGGGCGCGAGCTAGGCTAGGCTAGGCGAGAGGATCGACACCTACTCATGATACCATCTTAAATTTAGCGAACAACGGAATGATTGGAATAGAAACGAATGGGGTACAAATGAGCAACCCTAGAAGCTGTACCCCCTAGAGTGCAACTCACTATAGCCTATCATATCAATGTTCAACATTTGACACGAGGTGGCCCCGTAGGAATACGCTCTAAGTACAGTGAGACAATCTCATTTGTCAACCACCATACAATATCTACAATAAACGTTTTGGATAGCCACGTAGTAATTCTAATAAGAGACAACCAGCTTTACCTTCTACGCCTCTTTACGTCTTGGTTAGCCACAAAGTTAGCTGCCAGCTCTCTAGCAACATCCTCAAACTGAGCAGCTGCATTTTCAGCCAATCTAGCTGAAAGCTCCTCAAACTGAGAGCATGAATTCTCCAGCAGCTCTCGGGTAAGCTCCTCAAACTGAAAGCATGCGTTTGTCACCGCAGAGCCCATTGCAGCAGCAAACTTTTCAGCCATAGCCGCAGCAATGGATGCTTCGGGCCCTGACAGCATCCCTGCCCCTCTCGCTGCTGCTCCCCGCTTCTTCCTTCCCTCACCAAACCCACCAGTTCCCATCCTCAGCCTACCAGTCTCCCGAGTAGGAACAGGAGTAATGGAATTACGAAGAGAGAGCAAATAATTGCCAGATCCGCCACCTGTGAACGGAGAAATTGATGACGGTGGCGGCGATGGAGCTGCAACCGGCGGGGTTGGTGTTGAAGCTACATTCTGAAACAGGCTGTTTCTTGCAAGTCCGCTTTGGCCTGCTGTGTCTGGCCAAGTTGGCGTGACCGGAAACGCATATGCTGGCGTCTCGGCGGAAAGAAGCTTCCTCTCTTGGCCGGCATTTGTGAGCAGGGCTGCCATGCGACCTGCACACAGAATTGCAAACAATTGTATTAGTCCGCTACCGCTGAATGACCTTCAGACGAAAAAGTGTGCCAGAAGTGCAAATCAGCTCCAACCAGCGTAAGCCTCACGAAGTCATCGCAAAAAAAAACAAACAACAAATGAACAAAACAAACCGTAGAACGATCCAGAAAAAAACGAGTTGAGAACAAAGCGCAGAACATTTGACAGTGTTTTGAGCAGGGTCTTACCTGTGTTAGACGAAGGGTGCGTTAACCGAGAGCCTTGCTGGTTCGCCGCCGTCGCATTCTGCCGATTGCTGGACTCCCGTGCCATGACCGTGTCGAGCAAGACAAACCAATCCGGTAGATTCCGGGGAGCAGCAGATGCGGACCGCTCAATCCGATCTCGCAGCTGCAAGTACTGTCCTTTCAGGCGGAACAGCTTCGTCTTGACGGACCCCTCCGTGTGACGGAAATCGGGGAATTTCGCCCGCAGAATGCGGTACAATTCGCCGTAGTAGTTGGAGCCTTGAACTCCCCGCATGATGTGGTATTCCGGGTCGAGCTCCACGTGGGCTTTAACGAGCTCGATGACCTCGTCCTCTCTCCAATGTCCGCGATTAGCGTTTGCTGCCGCGTCGGCATTAAGTCCGCCATCGTCTCCAGCTGTTCCGACGGAGTCGCCTCGAGGAGTGCTGGACGGAGCGGCTTCGGTGGCTTCAATAGCCGTTGAGGCTTCAATAATAGCTGTTTTGTTTTCGATGGCCGCTGAGGCTTCAATAATAGCTGTGCCTCCAGCCGTGGCTGTGTTTTCAATGTCACCCGTGTCGTCAATATTTTCTGCGCCTTGGTTAGCTTCAGGGCTCGGGGTGTTAGACTCTGACTGCGGTTCCATGGCTTGGTTGCAAACTGATAAAATCTAAGAAGCAGCTCGTGTCACTCAACAGAGAACTACTGAAGACCTGTGTCGCCTGAAAGTGCGACCCTAAAATGGTAAGTGGCGTTTCCAGTCACAAGAGCTGAAAACAGAAGCTCTCCGCTGCAGACTGGGGTTTCAAGAAGAAAGGTGACAAACTGAGGGCGACACACCGAACTGTAATGTGAAGCGAAGTTCGAAATACTTTTGTGAAGGGGGAGGAGATGAGAAAACTGTCGAGCAAGGGTTTCAAGAACCGTAGCCTGAAGGGCACCTGTTTTGGCCCTTGCTGTTCCGTCAGAAGCTCTTTTGGATGCGGCTTGGTGAGATGCCTTACGTTACAGAGCGGTCAAGACGGCAAAGAGCAGCTGGGTTTGTGCAGAAATTGAAGTTGGGACCAGCAAGGAGCAGGTTTCAGGTTCGGGAACCAGGGTTTGCGAACTCGAAGGAACAAGTGAAAACCCAAGGGCAAACTTGCGCCTTCACCTTGTCTAGCAACTGCTGTACCGAACCTTCAATCGACACGAAAAACTGGAGTCATGATTGATGTCACATAACAGCTGAGTTGAGACATCGCTGGTCTCGGATAGGCTCGGCCTGGTCATTTTTTTGCAGCAGCCAATGAGGGTTGAGTTACCACTTCTAAACTTCGTCCATGCATGCAAACCTACCCTGAAAGGACACGTATTGAACCAATGGTGGAACTCGAGCTGCCAATATTCCATATTACAGCTATGCCACAACCGAGAAACTGTCATTGGTTCGTCCCAGATTGCATTTCACAAATGATATCAGAAACGAAGATGTTTCTCCAAACAGGCTCGTACAGGTGTAGGAGAAGACGACGTTCGAGCGAGGTCCACGGAAACGATGTTCAAATCGTACGGCTGTCATCCATCCGTTCTGCAAACCTCCCCAAGTGTGCAGCAGCATCACCACTGCATTTTGTTATGGGAAGCTGACATAACATGTAATAATGTAATATAGAAGAACGATTTAACCTACCTAGATTGTGTGATAGAAACAGGATACCTAATGATATACTTATGCATTCACACCCACATTTGCACGAGGCCCATCGCCCATCCACACCTTAATCTTCCTTCCGCGCCCTTTGGAGTGTGTGTCCCCCTCCAACAGAGATGCCCAGAACTTGTGCAATCCACTCTTCTTGCTGGCACCACCACTCCCGTTGCTGCTGCCCTTGCTGCTGTTATTTTCATTGCTACTGCTGCCGCTGCTGCCCTTGCTGCTGTCGCTGCTGATGCTGTTTGAGCTCTTATGCGCAATCATGTTGGAGGAGGTTTCAGAGGAAGCTTCTTCCAGAGGAGCCACCAGATGCCACTCTGATGCCCCAGGTGAAAACTCAGGCAGGAAGAGCTTAGACGCATTAAAGGTCCTGCCGGTGCCTGCTGTCCTGCTGTCAATAGATGACATAACCCGAGAGCTAATGTCACGACCTGGCGTGGCAAACGCCTGGTGCTGACGTGGCATGTGCTGACGAGGATGCTGCTGCTCGTGCATGGCCATTTTAGGAGCAATAAACCTGGCGCTGCCTCCAAAGTTGGGATGGCGAGAGCTGTAACCGGCTGTACCAGCCGGCGTAGGGTTACCACCACCCAAGACTATGTTACTCGCCCCAATGATTTCTACACCCGTGACCTCTTCCTCTGCATCAATGAATTTCGCACTGTAGATGCCACTGCTGCCCCCCAGATCGGCCCCATCCATGTGACTGTAAAGAACGCCCGGTTGATACTGCACCCCGCTGTGTTCTGGCACAGCAAATTTCGTTAAGGGAACGCCACTGGGATGAACCAGCATTCCGGGAGAGGAGGAAGAGTGGTGAAATGAGGCCTGGTGAATGGGCGCCAGGGGCAGTCTAGGAGAGGACGAGGATTGGTGCAGTGGGGCTAAGGGCATGCCCGGGGAAGAGGAAGAGTTGTGAATCGGATCAAAGGGGGCACCCGGAGAGGAGGAGTAGGAGGAGGACTGGCCATGGGGTACACCAGGGGAGGAAGAGGCATGGTGGTGAGGGATGGGGAGCGGTGCAGATGTGAGCTGGGAGTGGTGATTCTGCTGCTGCGGACTCGGCCTGAGTGCGAACTCCTTGCTATGGCGTCTGGGCGCCTGGCGGGACTTCAGAGGGGAGGCGGAGGCGGAGGCAGAGGCGGAGGGGGAGGGGGAGGAGCGGGGGGAAGAGTGGGGGCGCTGGTGGAAGCCAAGATGGTTCAGGAGAGAGGAGGAGAGGGAGCGGAGCGTGGGGTGGTGCTTGTGGCGCGGCGTGTTAGAGGAAACGCCTGAGAAGGAGGAGTGTGACGATAGCTTGTGGTGAAGATCCCCTTCTGTAGCTGCTCCGTCTGTAGCGGCTGTAGCAGCAGCAGCAGAGGAAGGGACGGTAGGAGGCAGAGGGAACGCGGCTGTAGCAGCAGGAGCAGCAGCGCCAGCAGCGCGTGGGTGATGCGTGTCAGGCGCGTGCTGGGCACGTGGCTGGTTGAGGACGAGGTGCTCCGGCAGGCCGTGCGTGAGGTCTAGCTCCTCAATGCGGATGTTGGCCTGGTCCAGCCACGCGCACGACGCTTCGAGTTCTGCGGGAGGGCATCAGAGGACAAGGGAAGGGCGAGACGAGTCGTGAGCTCCTATATCCAGCCACGCGTACGACGCTTTCAAGTTGAAAGAGGACGAAACAAGACGTGAGTCAAGGTTAAGTTAATCACGCGAGTCAATGCAGAGATTCGCCTAATGTAATCACGACGCGGATACCTCGGAACTCCGCGGTAGAAAAGGTATATCTCCCCGGGGGCAACTTCAGGTGAATCACCGGCGAGTCGACTCTCGGCGTCTCTCATGGCGTCTCTCACGGTGCGCACCTGTCCATCGGTTCGACTTGGGAAGCGACTCGAGGTACGCATCGAGGTCCTCTTCCGCGCACGCCGCGTAGTCGTACTCGTTACAAGGCTCCCCGTTTTCGTGATCCTCTGGCAGCAGCGTCAGCGGCTGGAATCGGCAGTCGCCGGGGGCTCCGCCTTCCGCGACGGTGCTCGCCCCTGGGAACAGCCGGCGGAAGAGAGGACGCGGACGGGGGGGTGGGGGGAAGAGGGGGAACAGCCGGCGGAAGGAGGACGCGGCGGGGGTGAAAGGGGGGGAAGGAGATGGGAAGAGGTTGAGCAGCCGGCAGAGGGGGGAATGCGCGGGAAAACGGGAAGAAAACCGCCATTGAATTAGGGGTCGCTTCATGCGACTACGCTCCTCCTGTTTCAACCAGAAAACGGGAGTGAGGAGGGAAGATAAAATCTCCAAAAGAATCAGATACGCGGAGGGAGGAAGAAAGAAGCCTCGTTCGGTGTACGCCTGCTGCTCGATAGGCGTGAACTTGAAGAGAAGGGGACGACTGGAGCAGGGAAGGGGAGGGTTTACCAGAAAATAAAAGTGGGTCCCGCTTTGGGATAGAAAGAGCAGAACGAAAACCCTGCATCATCGCGGTAGGACGGTAGGCCAGATCGTTAGTACGGTAGTGTCCGCATTGACTAAGAACGCCAGTACCGTGCAAATGCACCGTAAGATACTCATGTACCTCTCTTTTAGCTCACGCCTTACTAAAAAGGCGAGTGCAGGAATCGTTTGGAATTTATCAACGCTTCGTGAAAGCGAGAGCCCATTGAACTGAATGTAGCGTAGCGCTTACATTGCTCGATGTCTTTGCGCTCCGGGCACCAGCTGGTGTAGCGAGTGGAGTGGAAGTCGGCGACAGTTGTCATGGCGGACGGTGACGATGGCTGACGACGAAGTGCGACGCGTGCGACGGTGATGCTTGGTGACAATTGGAAAGTCGCAGAGAATTTGCGTACGACGCGGCTGGAACCAACGCGAAGTATTAACAAGCCTCCCGAGAGAGATACCAAGGGCAGCGCGCGAAAGCTGCGTAACGCTGATACAGCAGCGAGCTTCAAGGCACTTGGAATGTGAGAAATGAGTGGACAAAGTCGAGAGTGACAGTCAAGTCTGAAATACTGAGGAAAATACTCGCAAGAAGTCTCGTAGCATGGAGTGGAGTGACGTTAAGAACGGTCTTGTGCGTTATAGACGGGTGGAAACATGTGGTGTGGGGTCCACGGCACTGAGGACCGGGTGAAGTGGCGGAAAGGTTGGAGGGGAAGTGTGGGGAAAGGGAAAGTGATCAGCTCAGCTGCTGGAAAGTGGACAGTGCTGCATCAGCGGCTCCAAGATTGCTGCAAACCTGTGGTGATCGTGGCCGTAACCCAACCAAGTTCGGACGTTTGGAGCGCTGCGGCGCTGACTAACACTTCTAGGCGCGCCATGCCGAACTCACACAGCTCCTGGTTGGAGCGCTTGGTTGTGGAAACGTTGAACCTGCCGGGCCAGGCCTACTCTTGTGGTTTGAAATCGTTGGTCCGGAACACCGAACGAGAGCTTCAAGTGTCGGCCTGGGCCGGGCCACATCTGCAGTGATCCACCGAACCGAAACTGCATGAACGGGGGGCAGCAATTGGAAACAAGTATCTCCGAGAATCTGGGCGATGCTACTGTAGGTTCAATGATGAAAATCGTCCAGTTACTGTAGTCTGGCCCGGCGTTTTCTGTAACCCACCATACACCACCACACCAGACCATGCCACAAACATAAGAAGCCACCGACTTATGAAACCACAGAACGTCGCACGAGCGAATTGACAAACGAGCGCTGATTCGATAGGACGAATGGTTGGACAACACTTTTACTGGCTAGGCTATACCTGGACGGAAGTTCATTGGTTACAAATGAGCCGCCAATGCTGCCAAGTAGCATCAAATGTCACAGCAGCAGTGGTTCGCCGTACGGGATAGAGGGAGGCATAAATACACTCGCAAGAACGAATGCTCAACGTGGACAGGTGTACACATTTGTTCAATTAAACGCTTCTAGTAGTTCTCTCACCAATTTGCTTCAATTGATCTCATAACTTGGTAATATTTACAACCTCTTACGCATCTTGGCATCTCGGCTAGCCTCCACGCCCTCAACCCTTATGTTTAGTTAACTGCACGCAGGCATCCCCCGCCAATCTCTGCGAGCGACAGGTCCTCAAGCTGCAAGTACGCATCCTCCAGCAACTACCTCCTCTATAGCGTCTTGGCATCATTGCCATTACCCGTTACACCACTACACATCCTGCCATCAACTCTCTCGCAAACTCCTCGAATTCCACGAAAGCATTCTCCGCCAATCGCTGTGATAGCTCCTCAAATCTTGAGTACGCATCCTCCAGCAACTTCCAAAAGTGTTTTGAGTTGATTCAAAACACACGAGTACACATCCTCGAGCAACGCCCGAGTCCCAAGTAAGCTCCTCCTCATTCCTGCTTCGACGCAACTCATCACTGCTATTCACCTCCTCTACGCTTCTTGGCAGCTCGGCTAGCTGTTACACACTCCTCCATCAACTCTCTCGCAATCTCCTCAAACTGCGCACTAGCATCCTCTGCCAATCGCTGTGACAGCCCCTCAAACCGCGAGCACGCATCGTCTAGCAACTCCCGAGTGAGCTCATCAAACTGAACGCAAGCATTCCTCACTACCTCCTCTTCCGCCTCTTGGCACCTTGGCCATTACCCGTTACACCACTAGCCGTCGCACACTCCTCCATTAGCTCTCTCGCAATCTCCTCAAACTGCGCACTAGAATCCTCTGTCAGTCGCTGTGAAAGCTCCTCAAACCGCGAATAAGCATCCTGCAGCAACTCCCGAGTGAGCTCATCAAACTGAGCGCATGCGTTTCTCACAGCCGCACCCATGGCTGCAGTTAATCTCTCGCCCACCCTCTCGCCCAACCTCTCGCCCAACCTCTCACCGAGCCTCTCGCCTGAAACCCCTGCACTCGAATGCTTTCCACCTCCTGTAATCCTGTCCCCCAACCTCTCTGCCCCTCCCCTTGCAGAGTTTCTCCCATTCCGCTCTCGCTGCTCCCGTGTACCAGCCCTACCACGCAGTGAACTCCCCCCAGAAGTCAAATCACCCGGTGCTGCTGCTGCTGCGCCTTGTCTGCGGGCTGATGCCGGTTCAGAAAGGGGGGCTGTGGCATGTCCTTGCGTCGCGTCAGTATAATTTTGCATGATGTCGAAAATCGGATCCGTAGCGGCGGGAGCAGGAGTGGGAGCGACTTTATTACGCAGGCACTGCAAGTAGCTGTCAGACGGTTGCCCTTGCCCCCCAGCAGGTGCAACGGGAGAGACAGTGGTTGGAGCTGCTGCTGTTAAAGGGAGAAGCGCGGATTGTGAAGGTAATGGTAGTAACGGTAATGGTAATGCTGATGGTGAGGACCCATTGTTTCCCTGCTGCTGCTGCTGCTGCTGCTGCTGCGGTTGCTGCTGTGTTTGTTGCTGCTGCTGTTGTGTCTCCTGCTGCTGCCGCCCACCTGTCTCTTCCCACCCTGAACCAATGCTGTCAGGAAACGCATAAGCTGGCATTTCAGCAGGCTGACTTCTTGCAGTAAACCCCGTAGCAACAGCAACAGCAGTAGCCACCCTAGCTGCTCTCCTAGCCTGTTTTCCTGCCACTTTCTTCCTCGCCTCAAGCTCAGACCCGTTGAACAACCGAATGTACTCAAACCATGCTGGTTCTGTCCTAATCCCCCTACCCTTCCGCCCCCCCTTGGGCCTTCCCCTCACTTTTGCCTGCGCCCCTGCGTTCCCCCCTGACTCGTTATTAGGCTGCTCATCCGCGTTAGTAGCCCATCCCTGCCGCTGCTCAACTGAGCCCCCCACCCCCGTCTCACCCCGCTTCCTCCTCCGCCGCTTCTGCTTCCGCCGCAGGTTGTGAATCTCCTGGTCGTAGCGCGTATTCATGCGCTCCCACTGCTTCGCCATTGCCGTCGGAACGCGCCGCCACTCGGGGTTCGCGCGTCTGAGCACGCGCCACACCTGCCAAGAGTATACACGACAGCAACAACTTCTTTTTTTAAAGAAGAAAAAAATGTATCTGTTTACAAGAGCCTCCATTCGGGGTTCGTGCGCCGGATCACGAGCTACACCTGCCGCCTGTACACGCGACAACAGCTTCTTAAAACAAAAATGTTCAGAAAGTTGCAGTGTTTGTTTACAATGTTTTCAGAACTTGCTGCCATATATGACGAATGCTCTTAGAGCGGTTTTACCCCGCCAGATCACGCGCCGCACCTGCCGCCAGTAATCTTGCCCAATGCTCCGTCGCGTCGCCTCCTCGCTGCGCCGGCAGAAAACGACAGCCGCTGCGAGCTCCATCAGCTCCGCATCGCTCCAAAGGCTCCTCCGCGCCGCGAGCTCCGCCATTATCTCGTCTTCGTTCTCGCATCCCCGTAGTTCGTACCAAGGGACCTCGAGACCACCCAGTTCCCCCACGCGACCCGGTTCCCCCACGCGACCCGAATCCTCCACGCGACCCAGTTCCCGCACGCGACCCGGTTCCTCCACGCGACCCGTTTCGGCCTCTGTATCCATCTCCCTGTCTCGATCCGTTTCTCTGTCTCGATCCCTTTCCCTCTCTCGATCCGTTTCCCTGTCTCGAAACGTGTCTTCTGTTGAGACATACGGCCTTCCGAACCGCTCTCCGAGGTGGTACTCGTCGATATCGTACGAGTCGTCCGACTCGCCGTCGTCGTTTTCGGCGTCGCTTTCGCCATCGTCGTCGCTCTCGTCATCGTCGTCGCTCTCGCCATCGTCGTCGCTCAAGTCGTCGCCAAAGTCGTCGCTAACGTCGTCACCAAAGTCGTCTCCGCCGTCGGCGTCGCTTTCGTCGTTTTCGTCGGCGTCGCAGCGGGTTAACGCGGCAGAGTGATGCTCCTTAATCCACCGAACGAAAGGAGGATCGGGTCGTACAATTGTCGCCCAATCGACTTCCGTGCCCTCCCGGCTTGGTATACCGTTACCTGCACGATTCCTAGACGCCATGATGATTTTGAAAAGTGGCTATTACCAAAGAAAGACCAGAAAGATGTGCTACCAGGACGCGTTCAGAGTTTGTTTAAAGAGCCGGACATCGACCAGAAAAGACCCTACGTCTTGTCCGTGCAGGGAGGTCCGGGTTGGAAAGACGCGATGTTTCTAGACTGTTAGCTGGACTCTAGGTCTGTCTTGCCCGTGACAGACAATGAAGACTGATTGACAGAAATGCCTTGGGAATACACACACGACGGTGGCTGGTTATCACAGCAAGTACCGGAAAACTGATCGTTACAGTTCGGTTTATCTTTGTGAAAGAACGGTT